GACTGCGTTTTGATAGCTCAGTGGGCACTGTCTGCATTCTTTGATGCCTTTCGTAGGGAAGTTTCTAATTTTTGTGTAGCTGTGGTATTTTAAAGATTCATGAACTGCTGTGTGCTGTTCTACTAAACTAAGAATGTTTTTGCTGCACCAAAGATTTGTTGTTGGGTTTGTAGCTGTGTAGGACTAAGGAAGTAAAGTTCAAAAGTGTATTTATTTAAAGATGCTGTGGAAGCCTCAAACTGATCTTTGGACACTGAGAATCTGAATGAAGCAAAAGCAAGCTCAGATTAAATCCTATCAAGACAGAATTGCTAGAGGTCAGGAGACATCTGTGCACTTTGATAACACTGGCCCAGCAGTTACTCTGAATGGACTTGGGCTCCCCTTGAAGGAGGAGGTACTTTGTGACTTAAGGAACTTCCTGGGCTTGCAACAGCAGTAGAATACATGGTTAGGTGGACCTACCTTTGCCAAGCCCAACCAGGATGCTTGGCTTCAGAAACTCATGCTTTGATCATCACTTGATGAGACAGTACAACATGTTCTATGGGGGTCTGCCCTTGGAGATGATGTGGAAGCTACAGCTGGCAGCAGAATTACTGACAGGACAGTCCCACCTATCAAATTACACCTATACTAAAGCCATTGCCCTGCTTTCTTTGTAAGCTGCTAGGCTCAATTTGAAGTGCTGGTAAAGTCCTAAATGGTCCTTGGGATTGGGATTCACCAGGCAATACTTTGCCTGAATTGAATCTGCCCATTTAGGCTACAGAAGTTATTAAAAGTCTTCTTTGTAATGTTCACAGGGTATAGGAGAGATTGAAGGCTTTTCTGTAATAACTTCTGCCTTATGGAATACTGTCACCTTAGAAATAGGGTCAGCCCCAAATTTGCTGCAATTTCACAACCATATTAAGTCTGTTTTATTCCAATGTGCTTTTAGTCTCAGCAGTGCCTATTTTGGATTTGATTTTTTATTTCCTTTTTGTGGTTAAGATTTGGTTTAGAGATTAATTTGGATGTTGTTGTTGTTATCATTTTGTTATTTGAAGTTTTTGTATTTTGCCCAGAATCCTGGAGTTTGGGGTATCATAAGTGCTGTAAATAGATATTTTGCTCTCTGGATGAGGAGGGAAAAAGAAAACATGAACACTCAGTTATTAGGATCAGTTGTGTAGCTGAAGTTCTTTGGAGTCTTGCCTTGATTAAGAATAGAATAGAAATAATTTAAAAGAGAGCATCAGCCTAAAATTTTGAATGTGAGCCCATGGAATAGCCTGCTTCTTATTTCCTCCCTTCCTGTAACTTGATGGAATGACTTTATGTAGATCATAAAATTATTTTAAAAAACTACTGGTCATATTGTAGTATGTTTGATAACCACTTTTCGAAAGAACCATCAGTTGAAGCATAGAGGTATGCTTTAAAAGCTGCTGTATGAAAAAAATAAGATATTGATTAAAGCTTAGAAAAATTAAACCACTGAAAGTGAAAACTGTTCTTCATTTTGATTGAGGCTATATACAGAGTAGGTTCCCTTCCCATAGCCTTTTCGTTCTGCATTTCCATCCTGAAAAAGATGTTTGGATAGGGTTAAGATGGGGTTACTCTATAACAAAAAACATAATAGGGGTATGGAGGGAAAACGAGAATATGATCTCATGTCTTAGCACAGGCATGAAAAATCTTTGCAATTTTGGAAAACTGGAGAATGATTGCTATACAAATATTTTTGATAACTGCTGCTAGTTTATTCCTGTTTCTACTTTACTAGGATAAATCTTAAGTCACGTTATAATTATGATTAATATGTATATTTTTACTTGGCTAGACAGGCATAATTGTGCTTCAGCTTGGAATGGCATGTCAGAATTCCAGCATTTTAAAGGATATGAAAATTTATGACTCTTCCTCTTCATTTCGTTATTTTGTGCAGTCTTCTGTGTTGCATTTGTTCTTCCAGAATGTATTCTACAAATGGAAATCTTTACTTCGGGCCCAAACTATCTTACTAACTCCTCTGCTGTAGAGCTACAATGTCTAGAAAAAAAAGGTTTCTGAAACACGTTGCACGATGCTGATATTAGGAAAGAGATTGTGGTTTAATTGCTTACAGCTTATGTGTCTGCTTCCTGTTTTCATTTTTTTATACATATACTGTGTGTATGTATATATATATATATATATATATATATATATATATATATATATATATATATGTCCTCCCACGTAAAATTGGAAGTGTCTTGGCGACGTTTCGACGAAGTAGGTTGGTTAATTTGGTTTGGTAGTCAGATGTGTTCATAACCACCGTGGCGTTGCCCTTGTCTGCTGGTAGGATTATTATGCTGGTGTCTTCTTTAAGGTTACGTAGTGCTGTCTGTTCCTCTTTGGGTAAGTTGCTTTTGGGTGGCTTGCTGGTGCAGAGGATGGTGGTGATTTCGAGTCTGATTCTGTTGGCGTCGTCGGGGTTGATTTTATTCAGGCTGGTTTCAACTCCACATATAATGGTATTTTAGTCAGGCTGGTTTCAACTCCACATATAATGGTTTCAGTGGGGATGTGTTTCGGGAGCGGACTGCAAATTGAATCTTTGGAAAGGATAAAATTGAATTAGAAAATCAAGGAGTATACGAAATCCCATGCACCAATTGTCCCACCACATACATCGGACAAACCAACAGAAGAATAAGTGCACGCATTGAAGAACATAAGAACTCAGTCAAAAAAGAGGAACCAACATCTTCCCTTGTCCAACACCTTAAAGCCACAGGACATGAAATTGACTTTAAAAATACCAGAACCATTGCCCAAAGTGAACATTTTAATAACAGAATAATCAGAGAAGCCATCGAGATAGAAAAATGCCCACACAGCAAGAACAAGTGGCGAGATGTAGTACCTATTATCTATCACGCCTACCAGCCACATGTAAAACCGCACCATCATTGACATAACGACTCCCTAACACAAAAAATGATACCAGGAACCCACACTCACAAAAACCACACAGGATGTCACCACCACACATCCACGCAAAAAGCAAACCCAAAGCCACACCGATGATGAGGCACGACCACAAACAGAAGCCAGACCACAGCTGCATCATTAGCCACTTTAAACCCCTCCAATCCATACATGAAGCAAACTGACCCCCTCCATGAAGAGGAGACACGACCACGAACGCGAAGCCAAGAAAATAGCAAGGCAGCCCAAAATCTTAAACCCCTCTGCAACTCAGACTAACCTGAGCACAACCAAACAGAAAACTCCCCCAGCCAATCAGAGCACAGCCAACCCCCCAGCCAATCAGAGCACAGCCAACCCCCCAGCCAATCAGAGCACAGCCAAGCCCCTAACCAATCAGAACACACCTCCACCCAATCAGAACACAGCCAAGCTCCCACCCTATCAGTTCATACCTCCACTGGCAGTTAAAAGGAAGAAACAGCCAAGACCACACACTGCTGCTCGAGGCACGAAGCTGAAAGCACCAGCCTGAAGATGACGAATGGGACTTCGTCGAAACGTCGCCAAGACACTTCCAATTTTACGCGGGAGAAAACCCGAACAACCAAAGACCTACATACAAATACCCGCGAAAACCTCAGAAAACTATATATATATATATATATATATATATATATATATATATATATATATATATATATATATATATATATATATATATATGCTACATCTCTTACACAACAAAAAAAGTCACATTCACACACACACCACCTTTGGAAAAAAGATATTTGTAAAAATAGGATTACATACTACACTAAAACAGTCTCTGAATTTAGTTGCAGCTAAATTTGGCTCCCTGTCAACTCTTCATTAAAACAGAAATATAATAGCAGCTTTTGTGTAGTAATTTCTGTGTGCTTTAACTTTTTTTTTCATGGTTTATTTCTGAAAGGATTGAACTGTAAAGGTTTTTATATTGTGAAATGTAATCACCTAAAGCTGAAGACCGTGATACCCGAAAGGAGCATGTGAGGAGGTGACTCACATGGAATTGTGTGGTTTTCAGAAATAAAAGCTAATTGGTTGTTGGCTTGTTCACTGCATGTACTGTGTTCTGTTGGAAGTGGAATTAGCAGTAGTCTGAGTATGTGAAGTGAACAAATGAAAGCAAACACGTACCCCCCCCCCCCAGCTTTTTACAACATTCTGATTCATAACTTTTGCAAAGCTGACATGGTTTTGCTGTGGCGGCATGTACTTGAGTTGAAAAAATAATGCCATTTCTTAAAAATATGCTTACAACTTTATCTGTAATATTACAGGACTATGTATTCACATCAGGAGACAGATTGTGATAGTGATAATCAAATGCTTACTAGAAAAATGTAAATTAGTTTTTATTTTCATACATTTCATTCTAAACTCTCTTAGTATTGAGTACTGTTGGGCTAGAGCAGTGGTTCTCAACCTTTTTAATGCCGCGACCCCCAACCGGTCGTAAGTCGAGGACTACTCAACCGGTCGTAAGTTGAGGACTACTCAACTGGTGCAGCACCGTTTGCAGAATGGGACTTTTGGCGGACTCAGCAGGGCAGAGACAACCTGGACAATTCCTATTGGCTTTTGAAAGCCAATAGAATTAGACTCTATTCAAGAGAGTCTATTCTATTGGCTTTCAAAAGCCAATAGAATAAAAGGGAGTAGCACAGCTAAGGAAAAGGGGGAAAAAATGGCGGACTGCGTTGTTTGACGACCCCCGTGAAATGGTCGTTCAACCACAAATGGGGTCCCGACCCACAGGTTGAGAACCACTGGGCTAGAGCTAATAAGACTTAAGGTCAAATCCCTGGTCATGAATATGGGTTATATTTATGAGCCTCATTATGCCCCATCTACTCAGTCTACATTACAAAGCTGGGAGAGTGATAAAATAGAGAAGAAAATCCCTCAAAGCTCCTTGAGGGAAAGATAAAATGACAAATATACCAAAGGCTTGAATTTTATTTTTTTTACTGTTGCTTCATATGCAGGTGCCAATATTGCCACAGGAGAAGAAGTAGCCATTAAATTGGAATGTGTGAAAACCAAGCACCCACAGCTCCACATTGAAAGCAAGTTTTACAAGATGATGCAAGGTGGAGGTAAGTTCATAGGCTTCAGAGCCTGATGTTTATTTTTCAGTATTTCACAAAAGCTTTGGAAAGATGTAAAGAGATTTGTGAATGAATGAATGAATGATGTGTGTGCATATCTCCTCCTTGCCAATGTCCTCTTCTCATCTTTTTTAGTGGGCATTCCTTCCATTAAGTGGTGCGGGGCAGAGGGTGACTATAATGTGATGGTGATGGAACTTCTGGGACCCAGCCTAGAAGACCTTTTTAACTTCTGCTCCCGCAAGTTCAGTCTCAAGACTGTTCTGCTTCTGGCAGATCAGATGGTAAGTTCTTATTTGGTTATTGTGCTCTTCCTGATTCCCTTTCACAACAATTGCTTGGGGCACTCAGATGAAGCTAGAGCACTCAGCTTCAGATGAAGCTGGGGCACCCGGATGAAGCTGAAAAACATTGGCACGTCTCTATTATCTCTCTAGCTGTTGTAGAAGGCAAAAGGTAGGAGCAGTGCTGTGCTGTAGACTAGCTAGCAGCTGGGACATCTTGCCAAAGTTGAGGACGTGTGTTAACTTTAAAGAATTTTCCATATTCTTTTCACTATTCCATTGAAACTTTCTGTCTTTTCGATCCCAGCCTAAGACTAAAATTCCACTTTCACCTGTGTGGGTAGATAGGGCTTCACTTTTGTATTGAACTGCGGCAGGTATTGAGATCCCCTGATTTCTTGTTTGAGGTTACAGTGGGTCTTCCAGTTAATGAGATTACAATGTATGTCTTACTATAAAATTATTGGCACTCTCTTCCTCTCTTTTCTCTCACCTTTCCTCCATTCTTCCCAATCCATTTCCAGATCAGCCGTATTGAGTACATTCATTCCAAGAATTTTATCCACCGAGATGTGAAACCGGACAATTTCCTTATGGGACTTGGCAAAAAAGGCAACCTAGTGTACATCATTGATTTTGGTCTGGCCAAGAAGTATCGAGATGCCCGTACCCACCAGCACATTCCCTATCGGGAAAACAAAAACCTAACTGGCACAGCCCGTTATGCCTCTATCAACACTCACCTTGGGATTGGTAAGTATTTTATGTTCCCACATTGTTGAAAATCCAATACGGTGGTGGGAGATCAATTAAATCAAAATTTGTATCATTATATTGGTTATAATTTTGGTGGGTGGGATATACTATTTACCAATTTAATGGAAGCATTGTTCCTTTAATCTTGAGGTATTTTGTTCGTATTGCATGATATTTTGCCCTACAACAGTGCAAAATGATCGCATTATCTTTCAGATTAGGAATGCATGAAGAAATTGATTAAATGTTCTGTAGAAATTGTAAAGAAGAGACAACTTGAGAAACTTAAGTCTTAGGTTTCCTTCAGGTTGTATTTCTGAGACAGAATTTATATAGCAAGTTGAGCCTTATAAACATATAAGGCTTATAAACCTTATATGTTTTCCTTATAAACATATGAGGAATGGTTGCTGGAATTGGATATGTCTAGTTTAATGAAGAGAAGGACTAATCTCAGAGGTTGCCACAAAGAACAGGGAGTCAAGCTATTTTCTAAAGCGCCTGAAGGCAGGACAAGAAGCAACGGATGGAAACTAATCAAGGAGAGAAGCAACCTAGAACTAAGGAGAAACTTCCTGACAGTTAGAACAATTAACCAGTGGAACAACCTGCCTTCAGAAGCGGTGAACGCTCCAACACTGGAAGTTTTTAAGAAGAGAGTGAAATGGTATAGGTCAGGGGTGTCAAACTGCCGGCCCGTGGGCTGGATGTGTCACGCTAGAACTGCGCCCATCCCATTGCTGGCAATGGGGAAAAAGTTGTGATACGTCACATGACGTCACGGGTTTGACACACGTGGTATAGGCTTTCCTTCCTGAGCAGGGGGTTGGACTAGAAGACCTCCAAGGTCCCTTCTAATTCTATAATGATGATGATGATGCCAAAATGCAGCTTGTTGGTTTGTAATGTGTTATAGGTAGTCCTAAACGTATGACCACAATTGAGCCCAAAATTTAAGCTAAGCAAGATAGTTAAGTACATTTTGCCCCATTTTATGACCTTTCCTGCTGAAGTGATTAAATGAATCACTGCAGTTGTTAAGTTAGTAACATGATTGTTAAGTGACTCTGGCTTCCCCGTTGAATTTATTGGTTTATTTGTTTATATCCTACCTTTATTTTGCAAATAACTTAAGGTGGCTAATTTATCCAACAGACCTTCCTCCTCCTCTTTCCCCCCTCCCTCACAACAACCCTGTGAGGTGGGTTGGGCTGAGAAGTATGAGTGGCCCAAAGTCATCCAGCTGAATTTCATGACAAAGGCAGGACTTGAACTTATAGTCTCCGGCTTTCTAGCGTAGTTCCTTAACCCCTGACCAAACTTCCTTTGTCAAAAGGTAATCCCAGCACATTGCAACTGTCATAAATACCTGCCAGTTGCCAAGCATCTGAATTTTGGTCACATGACCATAGGGATGCTGCAACCGTCATAAGTGTGAAAAGTCATCATTGGTCACTTTTTTCAGTGCCATTGTGACTTTGAGTAGTCACTAAACAAATGGTTATAAATAGAAGGCTACTTGTATGTGAACCCAGCCACTGTATAATAAAGCTTGGTTTATTTCTAAATTATGCAGGCCAAGTAATTGTGGTCTGTTAAACCATTAAACAAACCATTATTTAGCAAAATACATAAACCTAACCTAAATTTAATTGATTTCGATTTCCCAGACTTAATGTATACTTTTGTGATTCAGTTCTCAATTGCAGTATAGTTTTTGGCTCAGGATCGATGGATTTAGTGAACTACTACAGTTATAAGATGGAGCCAGTTTATATATAAGTACATTAGAAACTGACATCATGTTTCACGGCTGATTATCCCTAGTAACTTGAATAAAAATTTTAAAAAGTGAATTAATTGGAAGCACTGATAAAATTCAACATGTTGGAATTCTGACTCAAATGGATTAAAGCAGACATGTCAAACTCGCGACGTCACGTGACATCGCGCTATGTATTGGAATTTTTTTCTCATTCCCAGCAATAGGGTGGGTGCAGTTTTGCGATGATGCGTCCGGCCCGCGGGCCGGCAGTTTGACACCCCTGGATTAGAGCATTATATCACAAATCATAAATTGTTTGAATATGATGCCCTCCATTAATCACATTTTGCATTAGCACATTTTTTGCTTTTACAGAGATGTAAATGTGTATCACCAGTTTTAAAAAAATCTTTAAATTGGAACATGTATTTTATTATTAAATTTCTAGACTGCCTATGTCACTAAATGCCATGAAATAATTGTTTAAAAGAATTATCTATAGGAAGTCCTTGCTGAATTCCCACTGCAAGTAAAAATAGTTAGAAAACAAATATAAATTCAAAAATATGGATAAGATTTAGTGAGGATGTAACAGATATATAAGTTGTAAGATTGTTAAACAGCTAAAGGTTGTTTAAATAGATTGACTTTCCCATTTTAGAAAGATAGATTTGTTGTGATACAAATTTGCTATTTGAAACATTTCAGAATGCCTTTTTAATGCCTTTTAAAGAAGGCGACAGTTTATTTATAACTGTATTGAATTGGCTACTATTTGGGAATTAAATGTGGCTGTGGCTGGTTGTTCATTGGCTTGTCCTTTATTGTAAACACGTTTTCACCAACACCAGTTATTCAGGGACTCATTAAAGTTTCTGGTTAAAGTTTTAATTGAACATGCTGGCAAATCAAAGGATTTTTTCATTCCCATCCTACCAGTGTAGTCTTAATGTTCAAAAATGAGCCAGCATGTTTTATACTCTTACTGAGTTGTCCTAATGAAAATTAAAAAGCTAAAGAATGTAGAGAAGACTATAAAGTACAACAGTGCCTATTCAAGGAAAAGATTGGGTGTTCGGACTCTTTAATTTTAGGAGAGAAGAGAGACTTATAGAATCATTATTTGGGTTAGTCGATTCTATTCCAGAGCTCTGAAATTCAGGTCCCTTTGTGAACTGGATTGTAAAAAGGGATCTAAACAATGAATCCAACACCGATAATCATATATTATTCGAACATGTGAATATGTATTTAGATATTTTAGGATTCATTGCTTGAATTGATATTTTTAAAGCATTGGGCAAATGTGTGAATGTTTCAATGGCAATTATTTTAAAAAGCTGAAAACCTCTAGGTTCAGATACAATATGCCTGCAACAACTAAATATATTTTCTTTGCTTGCTAGCTTATCATAAAACTTAGCTCTCCATTAGGAGGTGAAGGGGACTGAATTGATTTATGCTATGATGCTGCAAGGCAATTTCTGGATCTAGTGAAAATTGTAGGCAGGTTCCAAATCACTTTTTCTTGATTGTTACCTCTGCCACATCACATCACTACAGAATGTGAAGTGGCGAGACAGTATGCTATTAGAGTTCCTGTCCTGACTGATTAAATGTCAGATTTTAACCAACCTCATGCACCGTGAAATATAGGACTGTAGATTGAGAGCCAGTTTGGTCTAGTGGTCAAGGCACCAGGCTAGAAACTGGGAGATCATGACTTCTAGCCCTGCCTTAGGCATGAAAGCTACTTGGATGACTTTGGGCCAGTCACTTTCTCTGAGCCCAATGCACCTCAAAGAGCTTTTGTTGTGGGGAAGGGGCGTTTCAGAAATGTGAAAAGAACTACATAACTAAAAATAGGAGGGGGAAAGAAGCATTAGGTATGTTTACCCCTTTAAGTTATTTCTAAAAATAATAAACATGGGATAAAAATAAATAAAATTGTTGCTTGCATTGGCCACTGGCATGATCAAAGAAGGAACCATTATGGCTTCAAAAGCATGCAAAACAGATCCCACATTCCACAAACAGACATGATGTGGCTTTGCTTTTTGGGAGTTTGGATACGGAAATAGTTTTTGCAGCTGCAGAGAAACTTAAAGTTGACAGAATGTCTGCACTTGACTGTGTTGAAACTGATAAAAGAGATGTTGCTACTTGGAAAATTGGGGGGGGGAGTGTTGTAAACATTATCCACGTCACACATAGATCAGGGGATGGAGAGACAGTGTTCCACATGCTCTGCATTTTGAACATTGCCTAGAAATACTGGGTCGCACTTCCCTCACAAGTTTCTGTTTTTAGCGGGCTAGAAGTGTGAGAGATAGCTTCACTGTCTCTATCTCAAATAATTATACTTTTAATAATTGATTTAATCCAGGACACACTTTCATTTGCCTGGAAAGTTCTGATCAGCAGGAATGACTAGATCAGGGGTGTCAAACTGCCGGCCCACGGACCGGATGCATCACGTGGAAGCCACACCCACCCCATTGCTGGCAATGGCAAACCGGCCCGATACGTTGCGTGACGTCACATGACGTCATGGGTTTGACATGCCTGGACTAGATGCTAGATTTTTCTCTGCATTTTTAATTATCTAACTGAATGGTATGAAAGGTTCACCCCAGTCCAATATTTGTGATAACATTTAGTCTGATTTTGCTTATTGCCTGATTTCACAAATAAAAGCTGGTTTGGTCTAGTAGTTAAGGCACCAGGCTAGAAACTGGGAGACTGTGAGTTCTAGTGCCATCTTAGGCATGAAAGCCAGCTGGGTGACTTTGGACAAGTCACTCTTGGACCAATTTACTTCACAGGATGGTTGTTGTGAAAAAAAAAATAGGAGGGAATATCGGATATGTATGCTACTCTGAGTTATTTATAAAAATAATAAAGATGGGATACGAATAAATATGATAGCTTAATACCTTTTGAGAGAGAGAGTTATTAGAATTGAGATGGGTGCGTTGATTGAGATCTGCAGTGCACATTGTTCGGCTTGACTTGGTGATTTTCCAACTTTGAAAAAATCCTTTCCCAAGGATCTGCTTCCTCAAAAAGTTTCTTGGGTTAAAAGGTGGCTGTTCTAGGGGATCTTTAGGGATCATTTGCAATCAGTGGCCCATATATAATGTCAAACTTTAGCTAGTATTCTCAATATTTGAACTGTACATTAGGTTATCAGATTTATTAATTCATTTTAATACTGATTTTGTATTTTGTT